TTTTCGCTAGATTGCTTCATTGTTCCCTTATGTACTACAGCATATGCACCACGAGCAAAAGCAAAAGGGTTTATAGTAATACTGTTTTCAGAATAGCAATTAATATCTCCTTTTTGAATGCTATCATTTAGCCATTCCTTGTATGTAGTGTTAGTATTAGTATTAGATCGATTTTCCTGGCAAGCAGTTGATAGTATTGTGACAATTATAATTCATATTAGTACGAGCAGATTTATTATTATGTGAAAACTCTTTTCATTTAATGAATTAATAGTGAACGTTCTTATGGATACTTACAGGTAGATGTGTATGCAAATCTTGAATTTCTGCAAAATTAGCTTGTGGCTGCTTATATTCAGGTTGTCCAATCTGATTAGAGTTTTGCTGTCTGAAATGATGAGCAGACATATGCATTAGTTGTGACTGTTGTTCAATTTGTTGCTCTTTTTCTAAGAAATGCTGGTTCTGTGGCTGATATACTGATTGTTGTATGTTGTGTTCATTATATGTATATTGAATCTGTGTTGAGGGATCACTGATGTATGCTTGCTCGTAAGGGACAATGTAGTAGTAGTAGGGGGAGTATGATGGCGGGAGGATAACCTGAGACTGTTCAATTGATTGCGATAATTGTAATGAGGGCATCAGAGTATCCAGTTGCATTGAGTTGTTTGACCGACGTGCTGCTGTATAAGTTGTGCAAACTGTGCGGCTGAGTATAACTGACTGTCAGAATTAAGCGAAGATTGGTCATACTGCTGCTGTTGTTGTTGCTGTTGTTGCTGCTGTTGTTGCTGCTGTTGTTGCTGCTGTTGTTGTTGCCGCTGTTGCTGCTGGTGTTGCGGATGATTCCATTGTTGTGACATGTTATAGCAATACTAGTACTAATGAACGGCGGTGTATTTTGCAGATGTTGGTATAATTTCACAGCCGTATTACAACTTTCTTTTTTAGGCTTCTACGAAAAAGGGGCTTGGTAACACGAAATGTAGAGCAGCGGAACGGGAAGTGTTAACGATAATAATAATAGTAATAGTAATAGGTAATCTTTATATGCATAATAACGAGAGTGCTGAAGAGTGTGAATGCTTAATTATTATTATACATTATTATATGACGTGGTGGAAACCTAAATTAAGCGTCGCTAAGTTAAAGTTTTTTGCTATAATAGGTGACGTAATCTCGTTTTACAGATTGCAGTTTGTGTTATTCATTTGTATTGTAGAAGTTTTTTGTTAATGGCTTAAATTCTGAAATTTAAATTCGAATTACGAACACAAGCATCGACAGGATAATAGTAGATGGTGATATTTCATCTATTTCATTTGCGCGTGACTCTTATTTTAAACAATGTAATGACACAAACTATGTGGAACACGTTCGTATATAACATGTTATCGTACTTTCCTACAAGACAAATATAGAATATCTGACGACAAGTTGGTCAGTTTCGTGTATTGTTGGACCGTAGTCGGAGTTGATTTTTGAATATTTTCGCTCAGAGTAGGCATATACAGTATACTGCAGGATTGGCACTTGTGGAGTAAATAAGGTTTGTGAATGTGCAGTTCTCCTACTAGAGCCAATCCCTTGACTTTTCTGGTCTGGAGCAGAAGTTTTCTTTACTTGATTTATGATATATTATGGTGTCGTATTCTTTAGACTTACGCTTACCCATTAATGGTTGTATGTGGTAAACGTAGCGGTGTTACTAATCATAATTACACAGATATTATGGTTTGAGGAAATGTTAGCGTGGTGGAGATATGATGCTAAAATATGCCTGGCGTGCGTGTGATAATTTAGTGATATCATTGTTTGCCGATCTCGACGATGGTGGTGGTGTTGACCCATGTTCGGGCATGCGGTATATAGAAGAGTTATACGACATTAGAAGGAATCTATCTGACACTGTGCACGCGAGACTGAACGGGTCAGATAGCTAATAAAGATATTCTAATGATGCACTTACAGTGAGTTTATTGTAATCTAGCAAGTTGCATACATGCCCAGTCCGAGTTGTCAAACAGAACATGCATATAGGGTCGATGTAAATCTAAGAAAGATGTCACCAACTTTGAAGGTCTGCGTTCTTCAGAACATACGCAACTGTCAAATTAGAGTAGACAAACATTGTAGAAAGGAAATAGATTGTTGAGAGCAAAATATAGCATGGTAAGTGAAAAGCAGGTGGTCGTTTTATAAAAAAACGCTGAGAGAATAATGATAATAAATTAGCAAGTAATGGTGTCAAACATAATGACAAAACGCTGGAGACTCATTATGAAAAATGCGATGTGGGAATTATGGCTTGGCTGGTGTTAAATATGGTTGAGTTAATTAATTATACTTTAAAGTATGATTGAAAATATGTCTTCTTATCTTTTGTCTAGTACTCTATAGATTTTGGAAATGATTGAGACGTAAAATGGCTTTGAATCTTACATATAACTTATAGTTATGGCTTCTAGCTTATAAATTTTACAGCTTACAGCTCTTTGCTTATAGCTTATGCAGCAACGTCAGTTTGTTATAGCAACTTGTAGAATAAATAATACTGTTGTGTAAACAATGAATAGGTATTTGAGTTGACATAATACAGCCTGTCGCGATTATTCAAATAACGAATCTAGTTTAAACGTTATTTAGTCGGTTAAATTCGTTACCCAAATGCCTTCTTACACATATTTTGCCATGTTTTAATGTTTAGTTGAACACTATCAATTGTCATTGCATTATATAATTTAGACAAAATTTGAAGGCAGGAAAGCCGATTGTTGGTGTGTTAACGATTAAACCAATAATGCTGCGTGCACGACTGATGTGCGTTATAACTTTATCTGGTAATAGTAAGATTTATGTTATACTCTTATTAATGTTATGTGCAAATAACGTTTCATAACGTCTTAGCTTTGGCGTATGTACATGTAACAGGGTATGTTCTTTATATCAAATCAATAGCTTAGTTATCGTTAACTTATTCAATGACTCGAAGTATTTTCTCTTGCAGATTATTAGATTATTTAATGACTCGAAACATTGAATCAAAAAATTACTATGTATATGCAGAATTTGCATCCGTCACTAAAAACACGACACGTTCACCAACTAATTTACTTAATCAAATTGGTCTGGTCACAAAAATTGTGAATATACTGTAATACTGGCAAATGTACAATTTGTTAATTATCGTGTTACAATAGCTACGCAACATATAAATTTTTACGTTTACGTTCTATTCAGAGGGAGTTTGTACGATGTCAAGGGACATGCAGGTCCCAAAGAAACATGCCAAACGTCTATTAATGGGAGTGAGTT